GGAAATAAAGCAACAGAAATTATTCACAGCACTTTTATTTTAAATCAACAGAACGACCGACTTTATATGCAGAGGCCACAGTTCTTCTCTTTTGTTCCCATAAAGTATAAAGTCCCAGAAAACTGAATCTCACAAACAATTAATATACAGCACTCTGAAAACAGTTCACACTGTAAGCATCTAGATAAATTGATTTCTTTTTCTTTTAGTAGAAGGCTTTTGAGTAGGTGTATCTTTAAGTATTTCTTTTCCAAACAAGTACAAGTAGAAGAACATTTGGTTACTAAGCTGTTACTTCATATAAAAGAAGCTCAGTAAATTTTAAAAATGCTGGAGACAATAATGAGGAAAGCATTAATCTATCACAGGGTTATCAAGGTGAGCTGTTTGGCCAAAAGAAACAGCTGAGTGTGTTCTAAAAAAAACCAAAACAAAACAAAAAAACACACATAAACCCCCCACAAAACATTGGAAAATGGTAAATAAGCTGGTAAACCATGGAGCACAAAATATTGGACAACTGAAATACGTTTTGATGGTGAAGGGAAAAAAAAACTTTTAACCACTTTTAAGAGACAAAAATTCTGATACAACTGAGGTTATTGTACTTGGCCATAGAAATCTTAGAAATATTTATCTTAGAACAGTGTGATGAATCTTGGAGTCATTTTTGAAGAGGATATTTCCTTCAGTGTACATGTTAAAGACATATGTAGGACTTCTTTGTTCCATTTGTGCAATATCTCTGCAATGAGTAACATCCTGTCTCGGAGTGACGCCAATAATTAGTTCATGCATTTATTACTTCAAGGCTGGACTACTGTAATTTGTTATTGTCGGGATGTCCTAAAAACTCCCTGAAAAGCCCTTTCGTTTGATCCAAAATGCTTACCAGATTCCCAATTTGAATTCGGGAGACAGACACCTTCTCTACTTCTATGATTAACCTTAAAACTTTCCTTTTTGCTAAAGCATATAGGTAGGGCTGGATCACATGACTCTGAATCCTTCCTTAGTTACGCTGCAATAGGTGTAGGCTCCTGGGAGATTCCCATGATGCACTAAGTATTTTCTTCAGCCACCTTTTCCAGTTATAATGTGTTATACAGCTCTCTTCATTTAATCATTAGTTATTATTAATCTAGTCTAGTCTTTTGTCCTGTCTTCCTCCCCTCACCCCAACCGGTCACAGCAGATGACCGCCCCTCCCTGAGCCTGGTTCTGCTGGAGTTTGTTCTTCCCACTTGCTCATAGGGGGTCATATGATTGCTGGGTTTTTCTCTGTTGTACTATTTTATTGTGTACCTTCGAATATACAGTGCATTGCAGTATAAATAAAACTAAATTGAATTGAATTGAAAACGATCAGGACAATGGAGAGGGTAAAAAAAAAAAACACACAAAATACCTCATGGCCCAAAGCATACTCTGTTATCTGTCAAACACGGTCGAGTTTCTGTTAGGGTTTGGCCATATGGCTGCCAATGTAGCTGGCCCCCACTGGCATTTATTGATGATCTCACTGCTGACAGAAGCAACAGGATGAATGCAGAATTATATGAGAGCAGTCTGTGTGCTCAGATTCAGCCAAAACACATAAAACATATTGGACAGCAGTTCATCATTCAGCAGGACAAGGATACTAAACAAACAACTAAAGCAAATGAAGAATATACAACTACTTACTGGCAGGAGAGTACACAGCAGTGACAAAATCTTTCTTTACTTGACTGTCAAACAAAAATCTCTTCCTCATACATTGCAAAATGAAGGCTTTTCTCACTGTTACATTCTGTTTCCATGTTTTCTTATTTACTTGCCATGTCCTACAGCAGCTGTGACTCAGTAGTTAGAGCCTTCCAGCTACCAACCTGATGGTTGTTGGTTTGATCCTAAAAGTGTGAGTGTGTGCATGATAGATAGAGAGCCCTTAAAGGCATAGAGTAAAGCAGTGAATCAATGTGTAGGTCTCTAGAAATAAGGGTGCTATAAGAGGAACTATGGTACTGCATGACATTAGGATATTGAGACAACTATATGAGGACAGTGTTAGGCTGTGTGGTCAGAGCGACAGATGGGTTTAAAGCGGTGGTGCGATTACATTAGGAAACCATCAGGAAGCCCATTCATGTTTGTGAGGTTGCCAGATTAACAGATGAGGTTAGAGAGGAGTTTGTGGACTATAATGTTTGCAGATGACACTGTATTCATGGATGTAGTGAAGAAAGACATGCAGAGGGTTGGTGTTGTGACACAGGAAATTACTGGGGATTCGTATTATTGTATTATGTTTGTATTATTGTAGGGTCTTTATCCTACAATGCTAATATAAAGCACTTCAAGGCAACTCTTGTTGTGATTTAGCACTTTAGACATAAAATTAAATTGAACTGAAAATTGAGATGGTGAGACGGAGTGAGATGGTAAATGGTAAATGGCCTGTATTTGTATAGCACTTTACTAGTCCCTAAGGACCCCAAAGCGCTTTACACGTTCAGTCATCCACCCATTCACACACTGGTGATGGCAAGCTACATTGTAGCCACAGCTGCCCTGGGGCGCACTGACAGAGGCGAGGCTGCCGGACACTGGCGCCACCGGGCCCTCTGACCACCACCAGTAGGCAACGGGTGAAGTGTCTTGCCCAAGGACACAACGACCGAGACTGTCCAAGACAGGGCTCGAACCGCAGATCATCTGCTGTGGCCATTCCTAAAGGGAGCAGCCAAATGAAGAAGATCGAGAAGGTATATTCTTAATCTACCTTCTTGATCTACCTAAGATTCCTACCTAACCTAGCTGAGATTCCAAATTAAATTATCTATACTAAAAAGTTATGTATTGTAAGTATATATGGCCCAAATGTTGATGACCCCTCATTCTTCCACACTATTTTTAGTGAACACCTAGATTGCTCATTTGTTCTTGGGGGCCACCTCAACTTTGGACTAAATGAAGAAATGGACAGGCTCAATACAGCAGGAACTCAGCACAACTGGCTGTTCACAAATATAGTTAAACAGTACATGAGGCATTCCGGACTTTGCGACACATGGTGTTCCCTTTACCCCAGCCGTGTATGTCCATGACTCCTACTCTTGTCTGGATTATTTCCAAGTCAGCAGCTCACTGTTGAATGACACTTCAGACACTGAGATACACCTGATAGCTGTCAGTGATCATGCTCCTGTATCTTTAATTCTAATACATAAGAAGATCATTCCGCCAAGTAAAAGCTGGAGATTTAATACATCATTGCTTAAAGATGAAGATTTTATTAAATATTTTTAAAAAGAGTTTGCTTTAGATTTAGACTGTAGTGACCTTCCTGGAACATCAGCATCTGTTCTCTGGGAAGCAGAGAAAGCTGTGATGAGAGGTAAAATTATTTAATTCTCATCACATAAAAAGAGAAAACAAACATATTCAGAAATTATACGAAATCATCAAATCTTTAGAAGAAGCCAATGTGTCCTTCCAGGAACAAGAAATATTGAAGAAAATATGACAAACAAAACTAGAATTCAATGAAATTATTAATTAAAAAACACACACACACACACAATTCTTAGTACAAAGACCTAACTTACTTAATTTGATAGACCATTCACATAGTAAAAACACTGGAAATTTTTATTTACAGCTTTCAAAAATTTGGTTTTGGAAAGTTTTTTTTTTTTAATAAACTGGTTAAAAGTATTATATAATTCTCCAACAGCATGTGTCAGGACAAATGACCAAACATCCTCCAGCTTCTGTCACCAGAGAGGCACAAGGCAGGGACGCCCACTCTCCCCTTCACTGTTTGCAGTTTTTAATCGAACCACTAGGAGCAGCAAATCAGGAGGAAATAGTGATTAAGGGCATAAAATGATCTGGCTAGATGGAAATCGGTACCCATATCACTCATGGGAAGGGTTGCTTCAATGAAAATGATGGTCTTGCCAAGAATCAATTATTCATTCTCAATGATCCTGAGTAAGCTGCCACCAGACTGATTTAGATCTCTGGAATCTTCTATTTTTAAATTCCTTTGGAAAGATAAACCCCCACGCATCAGCTTAAAAACTCTACAAGGACCGAGGATAAAGGAGGACTGGATCTGCCTAACTTAAACGGTACTTCTTAGCCAACAGGCTACAAGTCATCTCAGGATGGTTAAAACATGCCCTGTCAGATGAGCCCTAGCTAGACGTAGAACAGGCACCATGCAATATTCTAGAGATTTCTGACCTACAATTCATTAGTTCAAACATCAAACGACATATATGCTTTAAAAGTATCAATATCAGCTCCTCTCTGACAGTGTGGTGGGCGTTTCTAAAAATGCCTGGGTCTTCATTAATCACATCCAAACCTACTCCCATTTGGAACAACCCTGACATACAACAGAACAATAATATGATTAACTTCCCAGATTGGAGTTGTAAAGGAATTAAATACTTGGAACATATATTTGAAGGAACAGACTTTATTCCATTTGACAGATTAATTATACAGTATGGGATTAACAACCTTTCCTCCCCATCCTCAATTGAACCCCTCCTCCCACACCATCCCACCATCACACATGCAAGGCCTTTAGGTACAGGTGCATCACTGAGGTGCAGGAGAGGCATTTCTCCTTTGTCCCCTCCTGCCCCCCTGTACCTCAGTTTTATTCTACAACTTAGACACTCACATTGCTAAAACTCTCATACATATTGGGTATGGGCACACTAAAAAGCATCTTCTAGCAGGATAAAAAATGTATTATAAGATGAAGGTTTTATTACTTTAATCAACTTTGACCTTTTCTTCAGTGACACTTCCATTTAAGGGACTAATACAGATGAAAACTTGCCCTTCATTCAAACATTCTTTCTTTTGCGTTGTTGCCTGTTGTTGCCTAGTCCTGTGTCCTTGTTTATCGTGATGTCAAGAATTTCCTGTCATTTGGCTGTGGTATTTTGAGCAATGGGAGAGTATGACACAGTATGACATTACTGCGCAAGACCAAAGGAGAAGTTGCCTAGCTGGTGTTTTCTTAACCTTTAACTTTTCATAACGACCATGAGGACCTCTGGAACATTTGTCTGCCTATTTAATGGTAATCTATCAAAAGTACTTGCCTTGTCCTTTTTTTATTCAATTGCAAACGTATCTGATTAACATGTGATGTTAAATGGTTTGGGATTTTGCAGGTCCAGCTTTCTGTTTGTTGTTGTGGATAATACAGCATGCAGCGGAATCACTTCTGCTTTCAGCTCCAGAGGTGGTAAAAGCAACAAACAGAGGGTCTGTAACGGTGCCTTGTCAGTATGACCTTCAGTACAAAGAAAACACAAAGTACTGGTGCAAAGGAAAGATATATGAGTTTTGCAGGATAGTGGTAAAGACACCAAAGAAGCGTTCTACCAACAGAACCTTCATTGCTGATGATAAGGAAGCCGGAGTGTTCAGTGTGACTATGACATCTATCAGACAAAGTGACAAAGATAAGTACTGGTGTGTCATCGCGACTTCTGGAAGAAATATCTTTACTGGTGTCAGCCTCCTCGTCTCCCAAGCAGGTAAACTTCAGCTTCAGACACTTTATCATCAGATGTGCTATTTCTGATTCTGTAGTTTCTTTCTTTGATTACACAGAATAATCACCAAACTTTAAAGTTGTAAATGTAATCTATTACTACTCTAGAAAGGCCAGCTCGAGTGTTGTCTGAACCTTTTGGCTAAACTAGTTAAACAACACATTGTTTGCCTCACAATCATGTTGTTTGTGATCTGAACAACCAAGTAAGTTTCTGAGTAAGATTCTTATAATTTTCAAATCTAGATGACCATCTATATTCATCTGAGACACTGACAATTTATCAACATCTTAATCAAAGACTGATCATAATTGTGGTGGGGTTTTTTTTAATGTTGCTCTACCACAGCGAAATATAACCCAACCACAAGTTGTACCTTTGATTTGACCTTCTAACTATTAGCATATGAGTCTGAGAACACCTAAATTACACTGCTTGTCATCTAGTAGGTAGTATGGAGCAGAAAATGCCATAAACTTGTATTTAAAAGATGATTAAACTTTAAGAAAAGCTATATTGTAAAAATGGTCATTTCTAATATTTGAATTTTTCCACTTTCAAATTTAATTGTTATTTCTCATTATTTCCATTAGCTTATAAGATATTATGTTATTATTAGATATCAGATTATTTCTTGCTCTCAACATCTGTTGAAAACACCTGATAACGCTCTGAACTGCTTTCTAATGCAATTATAAGGGGAAAGTCAGTATTAATATCATGAATATCATTTACTGACTTTTAATGCAAAGTCTTCTTATCCACAGTGACAACCCCAACCACCAGCACACAAATTACTCCAATTCAAGATGAAAAAAGGTGAGAAGAGTCTAAGGCTATTAAACTGTTTACTATATCACCATCAACTGTTTATATGTAGTAGTAAACATTAGAATAATCATCTGTCCAGTACAAAAATAGTAACAGATTGTAGTACGTATAATTCATTTATTTATTTATTTATTTATTTATTTTAAATCTAGTTCGTGGGTGACTCTACGTTGGATTCTCTTTATTTTGATGCTGTGTTGTTTGGCATCAACACATATCGCTGTATGGAGAATAAAGACTGCAAGGAAAATATGACTATGACAACCATTTTGCCCTCAGAACTTATACATTAATAGATTAAGTCTTACACTGTCATCATTTTCAAAAGGAAACATGGGTAAATTGGTATTAACAAAATCTTACTAAAACAATTCTTCCAGTGGATGTTCATTCAATGTGTGACCTGAGCTGAAAATAAACCAAATGAAAAAGAGGCTTTCAGACTCTTTTGTTTTTTCTAAGTATTTAAATGATTTAAATGTCATTCATTTTAATGTCAGTGCCTAAGATAACTTTAGGCTCAACTATTGAATATCCTATTAGCTTAAAATTAACAGCCCCAAATCCTAGAGGGCCCTTGGCTTTCATTTAATTTATTTGCAGATCTCATATGGGCGAACACGATGATTGTTATTCTCTTTGCGATGAATCTCTGATATCTAAGATTTCTGTCAATATTGCACTCCAGAGATCTGAAATCTGTGTGGAATAAAATTTTCTTCATATTCAAACACAGGGTGAACTATTGTGAGGAGCTCCTTCTAAAAGTCAAAACACTCACAATAAGTAGGTTGTATCATTAGGATCTCTCTAAAGTTATTTGAGAATTGCAATAACAGTTTCACGCTTACTTGACTTTTGCTTCTTGCCCTCAGTAATACATAATAGTCTAACAGGTTACCTGGAGCTGAAATGTAGAGTTACTATCCAAGTTAATTTATGTAAACTTGTTAAAGTGATAATCAAAAGTGGATTACACTGAAATTCCTCAAATTTTTTCCATATTATGCACACAAAGAGAAGCAGTGATGATTAGTGATCATTGTCAAGCAGATTTGATTACCCTGGTAGTAATGGCTGTAAGACGTTGAACATCCATGACTGTTGTTCATTGCCATTACACCCCTATACAATCTAATTCAATAACCCTGCATTTAATCTTATTTTATAGAAAAATATAATGTTCAGTTTATCTCAGAGGCATTGAATCATTTATTCTCTCGCTGTGCTGCAATATGTGTTGCCTTTGATATTGTGTCCCTCGTGCAGGTGGGGGTGGACAACAACATCTCTGAAACCTTTTTAACTGCAGATATCAGGTATTTGTCACACGTTCCAGTAGCTATGTCAATGTAAAAGTAAGTCAGTATTCAAAATATCAGCACCATAGCACTAAAGCTGTCTGACTAATATCATTATTCACACCTGTGCTCTTCCAGGTGTTTGTGTAAAATAATTTCTGTCATGAGAGAAGAAAAAACACCATTACCTTCATATGTAAAAACGGACTATAAGGTTTAGGTGAAACATTTCATTTTAGTCTTCTAGGAGGTATAACCCAGACCCAATAGCTATTTCAGTGCGCATGTGGGAATGTGAGTACAGTTTCGAGACAAGAAATACATTGTTTAATGCAGTGGTTCTCAAACTTTCACAATGAGTACCACCTTATAAAACATATGGCTCTTAAAGTACCACTTTTATGACCCACATTATAGTACAGTAGTATAGGCCTATTTAACACCATATACAGTTTACATGAGACAATTTTATTTCTTATATGAATGTTATTTATTTTAATTGTCATAAACAGGATGTGATAAGTGATAATAATAACAACTGTACTGCATTAACACATTCACAGCAGGTGGGATATCCGGTCTGTAAGTGATGACGTGACAAACCCGGCTTCCTGTTTTTAACATGTTTTAATGCTTTGTATCTTGTTCCATTTATTCTGAACAAGCCCCTAAAAAGTTAGTGATCACTGTCGGCCTCTCTCAGTTTTTATCACCACTATTCAATTAAAGCTCAGTTTTTATAACCTTACGTAACTAACTAACTACTGCCCAGCCCATGCAGCAATATATTAATGACTAACCTCGTATTGTAGTTTGATTATCTCAGTTTTTCTCTGACTGAAGTTTGGTCGTTTACAGCATCCTGCCATGTGATTACATTTGTCCCTAACCGTCGGGAACCATTGCGTTAACTTTATCAAGTGGAAAAAAGTTAGCATTCATCCTCTGGCTTCACTCTGTTTATATTATGCTAACCACAGCTGTGTAGTGAGCCACCATGTAGCACATCATTATATAACAGCTAGCCCAACTTCAGTAACCGTAAAAAACTGTTTCGTTTTCTGTCTTAATTTATGTCGGAAGTGATAGCAGAACTGTACATTTTAATTTTTCAGAAATCCCTCAATCAGAACATGGTATATTATTTAATCTTACAATTTTGGGAGAGACTTCTTGCGTACCACTAGAGGGAGCCCATGTACCACCAGTGGTACGCATACCATAGATTGAGAATTACTGGTTTAATACAACACATCTACAGTACTGTACACAAGTTTTCAGCCACCCCTTGTTTCATTTTATTCAGTTTCCAAGGACCCATTTTCTCCTTTTTTTTATTCCATGCTATTGCTTAAAGTCTTAACCAATAGCAAAAGTCAGGCTTTCCAAGAGTCTTTCAAAGTTCCAATTCAGAAATTAGCTGGTTTTTTCACTTATTTTAGGAGGAAACTTTTTCTGTTTGATAAGCCACTTAAACACTGACATATGGCTCATTCAAGTATAAAAAAGGCTTTGAACTCAAGGGCTGAACCAGTGTTGGGTCTACACATAACCAGAGGTGTGAAGCAACAAAGTACAAATACTTTGTTATTGTACTTAAGTAGAATTTTCAAGTATCTGTACATTACTTGAGTATTGATTTTACTAACAACTTTTTACTTTTACTCCCTACATTTTAAACAAATATCTGTACTTTATACTCTTAACATTGGTTTAACGCATTTGAGAGGAGTTATTATTTTACAACACTGCAAGCCTTCAAACTTCAAACTGATTTGAGCCTGAACAGTAACATGTGAAAGGCAATTATGTTTGCATTTAGTCACCAGAAGATGCGGCATAAAAAGAGATGAAAGATACAAAAATCTGTGTGTGCCATAGTCCGGGGTTGAAGGGGGATGGTGTTTTTACTCATTTATTTTTTGGCACAACATCCCATAAACTGCAGCTGCAGTACTTCAGCATAAGACAGGCGAGCATAAAGGCGGTAACATCTTTTAAGTGACAGAATCCGCAGTTCAACTCATACTGGAGTACTGTTAACACTAGTATCTGTACTTTTCCCACCTCTGCACATAACAGACAACATAGCAAAGAACCAATTTTTGGTTGCATTGCTAGATACTTAGTTACTAGTAACTAAAATAAGTTACTTAGTTACTTGTAGCCTGGTAAGTAATTTATTCAAATATCTTTGCTTTAAGATGATTCATTTTAAAAGGCATAACATTGTAATTTGGGAAATTTGTTAACTGTGTCTTAAAAACAAACAAAAAAACAACAGCCGATGAACAGTATCTGAGATTATTTTTCTTACAAAATGAGAAAAAAAAAACATTGCAAAGACTTGGTACAGTCAACCTGATCAACCTGACGATTCTGATGGTTCAGATGGAAAATCAACATCTGTTCAATGTCTCCTTGCTATCTGGGGAGTAATGCATCTGGCCTTTCAGCCTCATCAGAAATGTTCTCAGTGGAAGGGTTTGTGTCAAGGAGTCATTCTTGTGGAAGGGAAACCCGAAAAAAAGGCTGAGGTCTAACGAACTGCACAAGAACTGGGCACCAAAGCATCTGATTGGCAACAGCCAACAAAAGGCAGCCAATATCCAAAGAATCCAAAGAAGAGCTTTATATGTCCTTCAACAAGCCTAGAAAACTATTCATGAAGGCTGGTTAAAGAAACCGTAAGAATGCTTGCCTTAAAGAGTTGATGCTGTGTTGAATAATAAAGGTGGATATATCAAATATTGACTTTCAAGCTCACTGGTGTTGCAAAACCTCTGTTTTGCCATTATTTCTGTATTTTCATGTATGTTTCAAGACATTTCAATAAATCACTGCTCTGATTTCCAATTTTCCTAGAAAATCGATGCTAAATAAATATAATAGGCTTCTTATTCATACGCATATCACAATCGCATGTAAATCTTATGAAGTCATTCGGATACTGTGTCGTGTTTACCTCCAGGAGGGGATACAAGGTGAGAGGACTTTAAGAAGATGACATCATAACTTCTGCAGCATGAACCTCGCGCTTAACCTCGTCTCGAGATACTACGTATTTTATAACAACGTGAGAGGAAGTCACCTTTCAGTCTAAAAGCAAAGAAAGGAACGTTTGAAGCGTCATGCAAAAGAGTTTGTGCATCATATTAAACCTATATACAAAGAAAACGCCTTAGAATAAAAATTTTACTTTCAGGTTTAGAGAACTAGCTTTTACAATGAATGGGTTTTGTAGCAACATGTAAATGTTTTACTTTGAAACTGTTGTCCGGTATTATTCCGTCTCGCTTGAAAGTCGTAGTCGCATACTGGCTGTACCAAGTTTTTGCTCGCTGGTGCCAACGCCCGGCGAAACAGACTGCTTACGTTAGCTAGCAGTGACACAAGAGGGACACGGGTACGTAGCTAAAACATGTAACTGGCGTATTGGGAAGTTGTGCAGTCGTCTGATTTTGTTTGTGAACTACGCTTTTCTATATTGACCTCATAGAAACTAATGGAGCGTTTGTTTACACTCTTACGTTATCCGACTGGCTGCTAAACTAGCTAACAAGTTAGCATTACGTTAGCAGAGTTTGCTAAATGATGCGCAAACATGATTCAGTTGCCAGTAATTATTTAAGTAGTTATCGCCACATTTTGTGACTAATCTAAAAAATGTTTACATACACTAAACGTGGGAAGGTAATTAAATGAGTAAGCAAGTCATTAGCTAACGTTAGCCATCAGACAATATTGTTGATAGCTGGGTGTGACTCTTAGCTGTTTAATTCTAGAAAACTCCGCCGTTCCACTTGGGTTCCATCGTCTCATTAAGAAGTTATTCGCAGTGGATACGACAGAACATTTTAATAGCTTAACTTTGTCTCTAGGTGTCTAAAATATTTAATATTGGCCTAATCTTTGTCAGTTGTCACCTCCTCCTTGCAGGTAACGTGATAAACGTGATTGCCAGCAGCTTCAGAAAGCACAGAGATGCAGACTATCAAGTGTGTGGTGGTGGGTGATGGAGCAGTGGGAAAAACCTGTCTGTTGATTTCATACACCACCAATAAATTCCCCTCAGAATATGTACCAACAGTAAGTTCTCAACATCAACAAAAATGTTTTCACTTCAATGTGCATCGTGGTTCAAAATATTCTGACATGTAACTTATTCTATCGCAGGTGTTTGACAACTATGCAGTAACTGTAATGATTGGGGGTGAACCATACACCCTTGGCTTATTTGACACTGCAGGTACAATTCATTTTAGTTAAATGTGTTAGTTTTATTTAGTCTGTCTCTTGGTAAATTATTTATGTGTATGTGTGTGGTCTCTCCTTAGGTCAGGAGGATTATGACCGGTTACGACCTCTAAGCTACCCGCAGACTGATGTCTTCTTAGTGTGTTTCTCAGTTGTTTCACCTTCCTCGTTTGAGAATGTTAAAGAAAAGGTATATGATTTTATTCTAAATATAGAATTTTTTTTTATTGAAACCCCGTAACCTGAGAAATTCCAAAATGGTCAAAATAGTAAAGAACATAAAATAGTGATAATGAAGACAAAGACAACGGTTCTAAATACAATTTGGGTTTATGAGTTCTTTTATTGAGTCAAGTTACTTTAAAAAATGAAGGAAAAAGGTTGTTATTGTCTGTGTTGCCTCACTCTAAAAGCAGATCAGGTTACCACAGATAATGGTCCTAATAAAAGAGGTTGGGGGGAGTTTGTTTTGGTTTTTGTTTGTTTCGAGAACCAGACAACTCTTGCTGCTCCCTCCCATTTCTTTCTTTCTCTCTTTCTTTCTTTTCTCAGTTGCTGGATAATTTATACTTTGATCACTTTGGAACAGGTTTTGTGGGGAGAAATGCCAAGTCACTGATATGGATTCACCAACAACCCACTAGACCAATACCTCTAACCCTCATGTAGTGGCCTCCCACTATAGGATGTGAGGGCCGCCCAAAACAACTTTAACTGGTCTAGATAAGTAGAATTGTAAACAATATGCAATAACTTTAGAGATAAAAGAAAAATTTATTGCACACAGAGCAGAAACACTGCTTGACCCTGGCCATTATTGACCCTTTCTGAGCCACCATGGCTACTTCTAATGAGGATCATCCTGAGCCATCCGTGGTGTCCAAGGTTATGACGAGCATAGTTTAGGAATAGTAGTGATGGTTCTAGTTTTATTATTGTGACTTTTTTTTCCCCCTATCGCTCTATCCTATAAATAATATCAATTTGGACTGAATAGAGCCTCACATTTCCACATAACCTCACAACACGTTCATACACATGCAGCTCACTCACACGCACTAATTTTAATGAAATGTGAAATATGCAAATGTATACCTAATGTATGCATGTTTTGTTTGTTTTTTTCTCTCTGTGTTTTTCACATGTTCTCTTTCATTTTTTTTCTGTCAGTGAACTAGGTTACAATGTTGTGCTGTGATTTCAAGACTGTACTCTACTCTATTGTAGTATGTAACTCAGCCATACATGTTATGTGAAAATTAAGATAATATGGTTTGGTTAACACATTCTCTTCTGAAGACACAAAACCCAGCCTTAGGGGGTCTAAAACTACTGTACTCTTACCGCTGGTTCTAAGCCTGGATAAATGGGACTTTAACAGCAGGTGTAATTTCTATGCTAAGTCAATTTTGGACCAAATTAAAATGTGACGACCCCTTGTAAAAAATAATGGAGAAATTGAAAGTGCCTATTTTAATTTTAGGAATTGTAGAAATAACTGGTTAGTTTGTGGGTTTCTTTTTCTCTGTGGTCCTCCAATAATAGAAAAGTTTCTGAAAATGCAGATACAGATCCCTGTTTTTGATGAGTTTGTTTTGTTTTTTCCCCACCAGTGGGTTCCTGAGATAACTCACCACTGTCCCAAGACCCCTTTCCTGTTGGTAGGCACTCAGATTGACTTGCGTGATGACCCGTCTACAGTGGAGAAGTTAGCCAAGAACAAACAAAAGCCAATCACTCCTGAGACAGCAGAAAAGCTGGCTCGTGACCTTAAGGCAGTCAAATATGTTGAGTGCTCTGCTCTAACACAGGTAAGATCTCTCATTACACAATACACTAAAAACTGCTTTAACAAGCATGTTTCTGAATGCAATCTCTTAACATGGGTAGAAGTGCTTATGTTTTGCTAACACCACTTACCTAAAAACTCCCATCTAACACTGTGTACCTGTCTTTCTTCCTCCTTTTCCTCTTGTTGTAGCGGGGATTGAAGAACGTATTTGATGAGGCTATCCTAGCTGCTTTAGAGCCCCCCGAAACTCAGAGAAAGAGAAAATGCTGCTTGTTCTGATGTCTTCTTGAATCTTGCTTTGCCTCTCGATCGTATGCTGCTCATTCATTGTAAACAAATGTCTGTTACTAAAATAACCCCCATGCTCTTTCAAACTTTAAACCTCTGTACCCATTAACCTTTTTCCTTTGTTTCATGTGTGCTTTCTTTTCAACTAATCTCAATAATTGTCCATGCTGCCTAATGACGATGGTGCCAATCTTTAGTTCTTCACCTTGCGGACAAGTCTGTGTAACCTGACATGTCTTTGAGGGGTGGTGGGTTGTTTTTGTTGGGGTTTTTTGTTGTTGTTGTTGTTTTTTTTAAGCAAACATTCCCTTACATCAGCATTGAGCTCATCCGTTGTACCCTATTTAAGCATCAGTGCTACTGTCTTTGACAGTAATATCTCTTTTTTTTTTTTTTCTACTGCAGCATCAAAATTTTCACAGGCTTTTGTCTTTAAGACAACTTGATCACGTGGAGAGACTTGTATAATGTTATTTCAATAAATGAAAATTTTGATTGCCATGCTCCATTTTTACTCAGCTTTCTTTTGCGCTCGCATATTTCCAGAAAATGGCTCTGTTTTGAATATTAATGTTTTGTTTCCACAGAAAGGATTAAAGAATGTGTTTGATGAGGCAATACTGGCTGCCCTGGAGCCACCTGAACCTAAGAAAAGACGTAAATGTGTTCTGCTCTAAGTTTCGCAGCAGTCTTCACACCAGTTTCCAAATCTAGGTTAACATACTGAAGAGGTTTTCTGCACAAGCACATTCCACTATAAGTAGAGATATTTTTAAATATTAGCCTTCTCACATACTTAACCTTAAAACATATTTTGTGTAAGGCTGATACACTTTGTCATAATTTGATGCCATTGAAATTTTGTACACAATGTGAACACTGAATGCTGACACTTAAGAAAATTCTAAGGAACACTTAGAAGTAATGTTTTGGTTTGGCCACGTTATCTTTGCAGAGGTTCTCTTGCAAAAGAAGTAATTATGCAAAGATATTTTTTATAGAGCTCCTGTTTCAAGAGTCCTATAAAATAGAGCTTTAATAAAATCCCTTAAAGTTATAAATTTGCATTGACTTACTACTTAGGTGTCTGTAGTTGCAACATACTGTAAATCCTGCTGTCATAAAATGCTTGTTTAGGGAAAGCTCCACTTAATCCTCTCAACATAGTCTTAAGGTAAATGTAGGAAACCTAAAGAAATATGGAACTTCTGGGTATGTTTTTATCTTCGGTCTGATAAAAGTGGAAAATCTATTTCACTGTTACTATGAGTTTGAGTACAACTATATCCCAGTCATTTGCTTTTTCTGACAAGCATCAAGGAGACAATGTATGTCCTCAGTGATCATCAACAGATGGTAAAGTTAAACTTTGTGGAATGCTTGGCCAGTGACCTATATTGTAAACTGCAGCACCATTAACAGGTTGAGATCCCGTGGAAGTTATTAAATTACTTAACTGATAATTATTGCCTTTGACTATCCATTCCTAGATTGTGGGCTTGAATTTAATTTGTAAATATAGTGAAAGTAACTCGTAACTTATTGACTGAAAATTTGTATGTCACTAATGAAAGACTGAAAGAACCTTAGCTGAAATCACATTAACCAGAATATATTTCTCTCTTATTTTTTATTCAATTTCACAAAGTTGGGACTGTATTTTTGTTTGTAATAAAGGTTCACAATAAAGCAGTATTATGATTATTAAATCCTACTTTCAATATTTCATTTTGTCATGTTATTAGATGGTTCAAACTTGAGAACCTGCCTATAGTTACACATACATGCGTTTGAACTACCAAAGACATCAAAACAGATTATTTAGTCATTTTTTGATACAAATTTTTTATTATCAATAAGGCACAACAGGTCAATGCAAACATAGTTCTATTGTTCGTGAGCCAAATAACACTTCTAAAGTATTACAATAGAATTCAGATAAACCCAGGATAATCTCATTATTTGAGGCATTATTGCCTCAAATAATGAGATCACCCACTGACGTCTTCATGCAACTACAAATATGTTCTCACCCAAGTTTTAAAGTATATGAAGGAAAAGTCAGACACAACGTTCAAAAAGCCTGAGAGCAAAGCTGTATTTTTTTTTCAGGAATTGCAATAGCTCTTTGGTATTTAACGAACCTTAGCACAAAAATATGGTGATGTTAGAGATCCCCCATTGTGGAGTTTGTAGTCACTGTGGCTACATTACATGAAGAATGTTTCAAATGTTTTCTACAAGCGTGTTTAGATTTATACATGTGCACTGGTGGGGGAATAAAAGACATGGTACAAAGTAACTGTAGAGCACAACAATACACTTTCATGAATACGGTATATGGTTTAATGTGTTAACATTTAAGCTCACATTATCATTTCCAGTTCTCACGGAAAGTACAAAAGGCAGGTATCTTTAAGGCAAATGCATAGGTTTGGTTTAGGGCTGTAGCAATAATGTAAACAAAGTCACACCGCCAGACAAGCAAGTCAAGGTACACATTAACCCTTTCATACATGAATTATGACAACCTCAATCATCATCCTCATTTTTTCATAAGTATTTTTATTCATCTTTAGGCATGAAAAGATGAATAAAATACTTAAGAAAAAAATCCTGATTGAGGTTATCATAATTCATGCATGACAGGGTGAAATAATAATTACAATGAAACATGTCATACAGGTATAGCAACATTAAACAACCAGTGGGTGGCAGGGTATGGAGTGACACATCAGTGTCCAATGTAGTAGTGTATGTGCAAGTATACAAACAACACTGACACAAATACAAGAAAACAGCCTTTGAATAGCTGCAGTGACCACTATACGTGAAAGGGTTAAATCACTGGATACTCAGTCATCTCACGGAATACAAACATAAATCGTATAGAAATCATATTTTCACATTATTTGACAGAAACCTCATATAAAGCCAAAAGGACAGGTTTTGTCCCCAATAACTGTGTAGACAGTCTAAAGCAAACCAATCACTCAGTGGAAGTAACTGGCTCCTGGTTCAGTAAAACTCAGGTGCTTGTGTCTGAATTAGTAGATGTTTTCATAAATGCCTGAAATTTTCAGGTGTCCCATTACATCTGGCATAAAGGTAATACAGCATTTTCATAAAAAAACAAGAAATCACCCCGGAAAAACAACACGAAAATACAGTGGTGGTAGTTTAATGGTGTGGGGCTGTTTAGCTGCCTCAGGACCTGGAAGGCTTGGTGTGGTAAATGGAACCATGAATTTACCAAAACATCTATTTCCCAAAACATCCTGAAACAGAATCTCCTGCCATCCATTCATGACCTCAACCTAAAGCACACTTGGGTTCTGCAGCAGGACAACGATCCAAAATACACCAGCAAGTTCACCTCAGAATGGCTTAAAAAACACAACAACAACAACAAAATGAACACTTTGGAGGGGCCTAGTTAAAGTATTGATTTAAATCCGGTTGTGGCATAACCTTAAAAAGGTGGTTCATGCTCAATCAGGAAGGGGCAAACACTTTCTCAAACCAGGGTATACAGGTAATAGCTTTTCAGATCTACATTAAGTCATGCTTCTCATTGCACCATAACGTCTCAGGATGATATACACACACATATACAAAACTTTCTATTCCAAACCTTGTGCACATATATTAATCATAGCTCCAGAAACATGAATGGATGATAAGTAAGATGTAAGAAAATAATGTGCAATTGTAGGCAAACTGTCAAAATATGATGCTAACTGTCAATATAAAACAGTCAAAAAACTGTTTTATCCATTTTGTTGGTTTAAGATGCAAAAACATCTAAATTAAAAGCAGGTTAAATAAGTTAAACATGATTAGTATAATTTCAGAGAAAGTTAGTAAGCACATGTTAAATGAATCCCACCGACTACATATGTAGTCTGTGTGTCCAGTGTTGGAAATAACTCAACAGAGCTGCCAGTAATGTGAATTCCGAAATGTCCTTTCCACCACCTTAAATCCTTCCCTCCATGTGTAAATTGAATGTATCTCACTCCTGGTCCATATTTATGAAACACATAGGTAATCTGAAAAACAAATAATCAGTCAGACAAAAGTTGTCCTTGGGTTTTCATGCAAGCGTATTGTTGTCATACCTGTTTCCATTCTTCACGTCCCGCGCCACGGTAAATAGTCTCAGGTAAAAAGATCTCAATAAGCTGCTTCTTTTGATCTAGCAACTCTACCCGGATATCATAACTGCCCCCACAGTCGAAACGTGTAAGAATCCTAAATAAATAACACAATACAATGAAAAAAAATCAAGAATACTTTTTTTTTAATCTACACCATATTTGATACACAAACATGTATCAATAATCAGTTCGTCTTAGTCTGAACTTTATGAGTACAAACTGTGCCTGGTGAGCCATATGTTTAATATTTAAACCTCAAAAACCTCTAATGACACAAAAACTTCTAATTACATAGTACTTAGGTTGGGAAATAGATTTTTTTGTAATTTTTTTTTAACATTAGTGTTATTTTCATGTGCTTTTCATTTTTATCCAATGACATTTCCCATTTTATATGGAACATGGCCTTACTTATGAACAGTTACACTCACTGGCCATTCAGAAATGCCTCAATTTTTCATGGCATAATTTCAACAAGGGACTGGAAAGATTCCTCGCGGACTGTATTCAAATGGTCTCCACAGTCAATCATTTTGCTTACATCTACTTTTCTTTAATACGATTAGTTATTAATAAGCAGTCTGTTAAAGACCCCATGTTTATTCTCACCAATCAGATATTTTGATATCTGGTTGGGCATGATCCATAACAGATGGACTGTAACCTTTCTTCTCCAAGTCAATCAGCTGTGACTTTATGCACATTCTGTAGGAAACAAAAATGGTTTTCATGCTACATAATGTACACACACACATTAATAAAGCAGGATTAATTGTTCAGATGCATCAGAACTGTTAAATACTCACTCAAAAGAGGTCACAAAGTTTGCTTTGATTGTTTCATCTGGATGTGGTTGCCTAATTTCCTTAGCAACCCATCTATCACCACCATTTCTCAAGATCTCCCAGCTGTTTAGTCTTTCTACAAAATAAGTAAATAAATAAAATAAGCCATAACGAGAGTTTAACGGTTTTGCATTTATTAAGATTGATCATGCCACCTTGTTAAGTAAAACTTGTTTTGTGGGTTCTTACCTGCTCCGTTTGGATTTTTGAGGAGATTTCTTCTCTTCTTGGACAAGAAGTAAAACAACTTCCAGTCTTGTTTTTTGTTTTGTTTTTAAATGAATTTAAACGGTCTGGTTCTGTGGTTAATTCATAAGCTGGAATGGAAGATTGCTGCCACTCTCCCTTCTTGGCCTGTGCACTGAGAATTCTGACAGTTCATATGACTCAGTATATCAGGTATGACTCAGTTAAACTAAATTTGTAAGCCAGAAAAAATCAATATGTTGATCAATTCTTAAATAAGCTTGACTTAGAAGAAAGAGACCTAATGTTTAATAATCTAAATTTAACAGTTTCTTTTTTGGTGCAGCTGAGGACGCTATATTGTTCTTTCTCCTTTCCTCTGTGATTTTTTTTTTATGTTTAAATCATGTTTTTGCTTATTTTTGGTTTGTTTTTTGATGGTCTGGGAGCAGATACAGTGTCTTTGGTGATGGGGGGGTGACAGAAGACGAGAAGCTGCAGAGAGGTATGCAAGACTGTAACACTGCTTCCTTGTTCCCACTCTCCTGATTCAAAAAGGGGGATGAATCACAGGTTATTCCTATGCCATCAGTTCCATGGAAGAGAACTTCTTCCTTTACTTTGAACTAGGTGACTTTTTGTCCAAAAAGGCAACTAGCGACTTTGGCTGGTGTTATTGGAGACTTATGACGACGTGAAAGCACGTATCGCTCTTAGTCTCAATAAACAGGGGGTGCTGCCGTGAGCACCTCGCCCGTGCCAAAGAGCTCACAGGCGGCGGATAGTCCTCGCGCAGTAGTCACCCCCAGGAGATGTTCACCCTTAAGCGTGTAAACTGCAAATGAATTGCGCATGAGCGAAGCTCTACTTTTTGTAGATCACGAGGTTTAAAACTACTTAAACACACACACACACAAATAAAACAGTAACTCCGCCAAAGTGCCTATTTCGGGTCACTTTTTCCGATCCCAAGCCCGGATAAAGGAGGAGGTTTGGAATTGTGACATTAAAAACAATAATTGCTGATTGCTAAATAAATTTAATTTGTATATCTAAATATTTTCTAAATGCATTTAACTTTAATGTCTACATTCAGATATGTGTCTGACGCTGTAGCAGCTGCTGAGGACTTCTTCGGCGGACTTTGGTCTGAGTCCGAGCTGCTGTGACTTTCATCCATAGTGCTCCTCTTCATGTCTTGGCTAACGGTCCAGGAAAATAAACCATTTCCCGTATTCCCAATTCCCACGCGCGCCACGCGTTTCGTTTTTATTGGATGTGATTTAAAAGGGGGGGGGGGGACCCATCATGTCATCCATTTATTAAAAACGTGATAAACAGCAGATTCTAAACTTTTCTTTTCTTTCTTTTTTAAAATTTATTTAAGATATGTATTGGAATGTTTCATTCCAAGACTGTAACATAACACATTATTCATTTATACTGCAAGTATATACGAATTGAACATTTTATTTGATGGGATTTGCAGTCGTGTCAGCATAGACTTAAGGTAGATGCAAGAAGCCTCATAGAATATGGCGTTTCAACGTTATGTTTATCACAGCTCTGACAATATCATAGAAACACAGTAAAACACAATACAGGCTAATCCAACCCCGAAAGAATGCCAGCCCACACCATTACTGACCCACTGCCAAACCGGTCATACTGGAGGATGTTGCAGGCAGCAGAACATGCTCAGTGTGAACCTCTCTGGCAAATGCCAAAACACCCTGCATGGTGTTGAGCTGCACAACCCCCACCTGTGGATGTCGGGCCCTCATCCCATCCTCATGGAGTCTGTTTCTGACCATATGAGCAGACACATACACATTTGTGGCCTGCTAGAGGTCATTTTGCAGGGCTCTGGCAGTGCTCCTCCTGTTCCTCCATGCAAAGGCGGAGGTAGTGGTCCTGCTGCTGGGTTGTTGCCTTGGTACGGCCTCCTCCACGTCTCCTGATGTACTCGCCTGCCTCCTAGTCGCGACTCCATGCTCTGGATGCTACGCTGAAAGACACAGCAAACCTTCTTGCCACAGCTCGCATTGATGTGCTATCCTGGATAAGCTGAGCCACGTGTCTGGGTTGTAGACTCCGTCTCATGCTACCACTAGAATGAAATCACCGCCAGGATTCAAAAGTGACCAAAACATCAGCCAGAAAGCATAGGTACTGAGAAGTGGTCTGTGGTCACCACCTGCAGTACCACTCCTTTATTGGGTATGTCTTGCTAATTGCCTATAATTTCCACCTGTTGTCTATTCCATTTGCACAACAGCATGTGAAACTATTTGTCAGTGTTGGTTCCTAAGTGGACAGTTTGATTTCACAGAAGTGTGATTGATTCATCTTCTTCTTCATCACTCACTGTCACTTTTAAGTATATGAAGGAAAAGGAAAAGTGAAATAAACCCTTCAAAAGTGCTTGAGAGCAAAGTTGTAGTTTGTTTTTATCCCGGGATTACAATGGCTCTTTGGTATTAAACAAAACAAGAACATCAACAAAAGAAAACTGTGGTGATGTTAGACGTTTGTAGTCACTGTGCCTAGACTACACGAGGAAGGTTTTAAATGTTTCATGTTGTATGCAAGCATGCATTGATTTACACATTTACACTTGGTCTCTATATGGTGTCAAGACCAGGAAATAAAAAATATAGAAACAAAGTAACCGTAAAGCACAACAATACACTTTAATTTTT